TGTACTGGTTCTAATTATAGAACGAAGGTCACCAGCCTTAGCTTAGCTTCCTCGAAGTATAAGAGCTACGGCAGCCTCGCTGCACTTGCTCTATCATTCCTGAGGATACAGTTGTATTTGGACTCATTTGTCGGATTGACGACAAGTCCTACCAAATACAATGGGGCGAGGCACGTACTTTGCGCAGATAACGTTTGACTCTTACAGTTTTGCATTCACAAACGCACATAGGATTAGCTCAAAGACCGTTCATATGACAAGATACACTTGCTCAAATTAAATAGTGTTATAAAGCAAACTAAAAAATAATATCAATAAATTCACGTTTATTTATGCATAATAATATATCTATGTGCGTATTGCGTGCGGCTAGCAGCCACGGACTTCTATACCAAGCACTTATCAGATTACTTCATCGAAGTTATTTCACCGTGTGAGTTTCGCTCGAGCCGTGTCATATTAGAGTATGCACTCGTTCGACTAAAAGGCAGAAGCTCGTGCAAATAATTAACAGAAAGTCATCATTTAAAATTCACTTCAGAAAAAAGATTTTAGAAACCGGTCAAAAGCACAATATATTTGCTCGAATTCAAACTGCGCACGAAAGCACGACAGAGCACTGGCTTAGCGAGTGGAACCAATAATATGAAGATCGCAAGACGCAGGACGGGGCTGGTTCGTACAGTACATTCACTCAAACCGCGCATGCTGCTTGGGTAGAATCATCAAATTCTTCAAGTGTAACCTTCAAAAATCTGATGGTGTACGCCATTACAATACCGGTAAAGCGTTTATATTCTAGTTCTTTCATGCTCAAATTTCTCCCCGAAATCAACAATCTCTGCTTACTCACCCCGACCATATGAACTTCTGTTATCATCTTACCTAAACGATTGGCATAATCTACGCTACAAAAAGCTGGAATCCTTATCACTATCATCCAACTCACAAGTTAAGAAATCTATTTCGATGAAATCTTATAAAAGACAGGGTACGCTACTTCTATCCCAAAAACAAGGAAACGCCATTCTTCAAGCTTTTGACATCTACCCTTATCTCGTTCAACTTTTTCTTATCATGAAGTTTGCTCGAACCCACTGAGTCACTTTTGAATTCATCACCCCAATCTTCCATCACTCCTTTCTTAATCATGACGGTACCTCTTAAGGATTATACGCTCTTCACTCCATACAAGCTCTCCGACAGTCTTGAGCTCAAGAATCGCATCGTTATGGGTCCACTCACTCGTGCTCGATGTGACCCTGTCACCCATGAGGCTGGACCCATGCAAGTCGAATATTACTCACAACGTGCTGGTGCTGGTCTTATTATCACCGAAGCCGTTGCCGTTTCAGTACAAGGCTTTGGCTGGTACGGTGCTCCTTGCATGTATACGGAAGCTCATCGTGATTCATGGAAGCCAGTCGTGGAAGCTGTTCACGCGAAGGGTGCCAAGATTTTTATGCAAATTTGGCATATTGGGCGTCAAGGTCACCCAAGCTTTAGTGGGGATGTGGTCGGACCCTCTGCTATTGGCCCTGTCTCTGGTCATACTCGTAATGTTGATGCCGAATCTGCTCCTTACGAACTCTGCCGTGAGCTTTTGACTGAGGAAATTCCTGGAGTGATTCAAGATTTCTGCAAATCTGCTCGTCTAGCTAAAGAAGCTGGATTTGATGGAGTTGATATCCACGCCGCTAACGGGTATCTACCTGACACATTCCTTCAGTCAGCTACGAATAAACGAACGGATAAATACGGAGGGTCCATTGAAAACCGTGCAAGGTTTTTAGTAGAACTTGTCGAAGCTCTCCAGAACGAGTGGCCTGCAGAGCGTATTGGGCTACGGCTGTCACCCAATGGCTTCTACGGCGACACTGGGAGCGCTGATAACTACGAAACGTGCTGCTATGTCGCTGATAAGTTGAGTACATTTGGCCTTGCCTATTTGGCTACTCTAGATGGGTTTGGCTTTGGCTTTCAAGACAAAGGTCCTTTGACGAAGCCATTTGATGTGAAGAAGAATTTCAAGGGCACAGTGATGGCGGCCAACAGCTACAGCCGCGATACTGGTGAAGGGGTTCTACTGAGCGGCGCAGCAGACCTCGTATCTTATGGACGTCCGTACATTTCAAATCCCGATTTGGCAGAGCGCTATTTTAACGACTGGCCACTAAACGAGCCTGCTGGTTACGACACCTGGTTTGGCACGCGCATGCCGGGACCTCAAGGCTACACCGATTTTCCGACTTACAGTGCTGACTCAGATTTAGACAAGTTATCTAGCTTGATATCTTCTTATACTTGAACACCTATTGATGTCAATCAATACAAGGCTTTTCAACAATATGTTTGGTCCAAATTTAAAATATTGATACTTTTCATGTGTTCCTCTCTAACTAAGTATGGTATAGAATTTGATGTTTACTTAGCTTCGTTGGGCGTGCACATTCGCCAAGTGCAGTTTGGATAGTGCTTCATGTCGATTTAGTGCTTCCACACTTATAAATTTACGTTGACATATCAAACAGTAAATTCGCGATGGAGAAGCAACTCTCGCGCTTGACTTTGCACCATCCTCATGTGCTAGTTTCGTTTGCGTTCGTCTAAATGTCGACTTGTTCCATGCTGCCCACTCATTTGCTTTCAGATCAAGATCGATATTGAGAATAGCATGCTGCTTTTCCTTTAAGGCCAACATATCGTTGGCACCTTGCGCTGGCTGCTTCATTGCCGAATTGTACACTCTGTCAAACCCTTTAGCATGGAAGTGCCGTCGTGCCAATTCTTCTTCTTCCCGTTGGAACTCCTGCCAAATCTCCTCAGGCGTTCGCATACGCTTTGGTAACTTCGGTTCATGCTCAGTCATTGTTTCGGACGGTGTCTCTCTCTTCCGCTTGTACTTGTTCTTTTGCCTCGACGACTTTCGTTGAGTTTTCACATTAAGTTGTTGCAGATAAGCGCGCTGAGAAATTTCATCCACTAGACATTCATAGGCTTCACTCAGTCGCTTAAACGCAGACTCGGCATCTAAAAAGAAAAAAAACAAGTCAACACGACCTTATCACCATTCAATGCACTTGACGAATATACTGGGAGATTGGTTTTTGTCTGGGTGGACGAGAATCGCGAGTTCCTTATAACGTTTTCGTACTTGATGAGCATTTACAAATTCTGGAGTTTGTTTCGCTCCCTTAAGATTCAGCACCTCATAGTGCGTACTACACCTTAGAACGCGTATCGCTTCATCGAGCTCAACCATCTTGTAGAATTTTGAAGCACAT